GGATGCTCGGGAGCCTTGGGATCCCCTGCTTGGGGGCCTTGGGATGCTTAGGGAGAGCAGGCTGCTCCGGAGCACAGGGTTGCGTAGGGGCAGTCGGCTGCTCGGGAGATTTTGGATGCTTGGGGGCCTTGGGCTGCCTCGGTGGCTCGGGCGACGGAGGTTGAGGTGCCTCGGGCGCCTGGACAAAAAAACGATTGATGTATGCGGCGTTTGCAAGGTCAATAAAGTGTAGTAAGGGATCATTAAATTGGTTTGCCAAACTCCCATCTGTTAGCTGTTGAGCACTTTGGACCTCTTATCCAGTCAGGAGAGAGGAATGTGGTGGACTCAGGACATCAAAGACAAAGTGGGCTACCGGTGGGCTGTGGTAGGCTGGAAATAGATGTGCAGCGGCGTTAACTTGCTCACCTTGGGATGACGTGGCTTATTAGAGTTTCTTGATTCAACGTCTTGTGCACTCACTCCTGCAGAGATACACCACACACGGGGCCACAAGGCAGTGCACCACCTGGTTCCCTGGCAGATGCCCGCAGGATTCGGGCCTCGGCACCCAATGGCCTCTCTCCAGCTACGTCCCCCATGGCCTCCGCCACTCACCCTGCGGTGCCATCAGGCACAGTACGGCCACCACCGCCAGCAGCACCAGGCGGCTGGTCATGGCCCGGTGGGGGCTGCTGGACGCTGCAAGTCGGGTCATGTGGGACCACGTGAGGCGGGGCTGACTGTTAGGGACCTGACCCGGCCTAGTCACAAGTCGGGGGAAGCCTCAGCAGCAAGATTACAGCTTAGGTCGAGGTTCACGAGGACCCAGCCAAGCAGGTGCTCCGCTTAGGTAGAGCGGAGGAACTGCGCGTCACCTAAACACCAGCCACCGCTCTGCATGCAAGTTCATCAGTGTTCGATGTTCATAGCACGACACCTACGCAATGTTTTATAGCAAGATTGATACAGCGCCATTTAGTTTTCAGGTGATGGCTTATGGGACTGGCTTCGTCGCTGACAGGCTCGTGCAGCAGTGGGGGGCTTGACGGCCCAGCCGGTTCGGTGGGCCGTTCCGATTGCAGCGGACACTGGTGGGCGGCACTGGATGGATCGTCCTCTTCCCCGATACCAACTTGGCGGCCTGCACACCTGCGCGCGGAGAGAATGATGCCGATTATCCAAGTAATTCGTCGGAACAACATTCGCAGCTAGGCTGGCTGCAAATGTCGTTTGGCAGGTAGGACGCCCGCGGCCATGGTAAAGCCATTCCATTAACCAGCAGCAGCAAGGGATCCAGAGGCAGCAGACCCACATGGCCGGGGACATGACAGGATACACCGTGACGTGTGACGAGTTGGCGCCTGAGCGCATTAAACCCCACGCAACGGCTTGACGTATCGGTGCCGATACAGTCCTTTTCACAAGCTCGTTAAAGCGCTTCATTCTTTCGCTGTCCGGCTGCCTATCTGAGGCTGCTGATACGCGCATTAGTTGCTGTGGGGTTGCCCTCATGAGGTTGTTTGGACTGTCTCGGGACGGACCCAGAGGCGTATGGCTGCATCAGCACCTCCGAACCACAATTTTCTGGTCCCGTAACGGCTCACGGGTACCATCCACTAGCATATGTGGGTATTGCTCCTGGCCTTGCTAGCGTGTTTTGTATAACGTCTTTGAACTGTCACCTTTCCTCGCGTCCATATCCTTGCTCGTGGTGAGGTCAGCAAGGCAAGCACGCACGGGCCAATACTCATGCACTCCCGGGCAGTGCATCCGCTGCGGCTCAACACAGAATCTGATCACTGGCTAGCGGAAGCCGGTCACTCCGCCAAAACCCAACTACCGGGCCGGCTCCCCCTGTCCCTCCGGCTAGCCTCTGAACATGTGGAGACCTAGATCACGAGTCAAGTGCGCCTCAACCTGCCCAGTCCAAGCAAGCTCACTGCACCGACCCGATGGTAGATCATATAATACCACTTCTTGCCCTTTCACTGTGCATATGGATATAGCGGTTAGGAGGAGTGATTGGCGTGCTTAATATGAGTACAGTACAGAACGGTACCGGAAGTGCCGCACAGTACTTAGTATAGTGAGTTTCGTTCATCGCAGTGTATAGTGTTCACCAAGAAGCTAAGCAGGCAGCACACTTCCAATCGAGGCCATTATGTAGGACAAGACTGATTGGGACATACTGCGATGTAGTGGTTACATGTGCATCCCACCCAACTTACCCCTTCTCGACTTTCTCGACTTCGACCTTCACGGGCTGTAGGGGAATTTGGGGCTGCTTGGGAGCCTTGGGCTGCTTAGGGGCAGTCGGCTGCTCGGGGGCCTTGGGCTGCTTAGGGGCAGTCGGCTGTTTTTGGGTCTCGGCTGCATAGTGACAGTCGGCTGCTCGGGAGCCTTGGGCTGCTTGGGGGCTTTCAGCTGCTCGGGAGCCTTGGGCTGCTTAGGGGCCTCAGGCTGCTTAGGGGCAGTCCGCTAACCGGTACTCAGCTCCCATAAGCCGCTTCCGCTCACGTGTAGTGCCCCCAAAATGAGGACCTCACACTTCGCGGCATTCGAAGCCATACCCGTCGCTTTGCAGTAGGCTTCGAGTAGCCCCAGAAAGCATTAGCATTAGCATTAGCATTAGCATTAGCATTAGCATTAGCATTAGCATTAGCATTAGCATTAGCATTAGCATTAGCATTAGCATTAGCATTAGCATTAGCATTAGCATTAGCATTAGAAAGCATTAGCATTAGCATTAGCTCTATCGTGCCCAGTGACACATCGTCAACGAAAAGTAGGTTGGTGAGTTCACCGCCCGCCAGGCTAACACTCGGTAATAGACGTGCAGCGGCGTTAACTTGCTCACCTTGGGAGGACGTGGCTTATTTGAGTTTCTTGCTTCAACGTCTTGTGCACTCACTCCTGCAGAGATACACCACACACGGGGCCACGAAGCAGTGCACCACCTGGTTCCCTGGCAGATGCCTCTCTTAGCGGGCTTGTGCACAGATATCGGCAAACGGGGAATTTCGAGGTTCAGAAACGGGTCTAATTCTGTCTGGACCTGTTGCGGAGGCGGACAGCAACGGCTATGTCAGCGAAATGTCTGCCGACTACGACGAATGGTGGTCCAGCTCTGAAAGCGAGGCCGGGGATATCGGTGAGGTCAGCGACATAGGCGAGGCTGAAGACGCCGAAGAAGGCGACATGCTTGGCGCCGGTGGCATGCTCAGCCGACCTACCAACTTCTACCTGCAGCTTGTCCACACAGAACACATGCAACCAGCAGCGATGACTGTCACTACTTCAGGGTGAGCGGCGGCAGCAGCAACAACAGCAGCCATGCCAGCAACAACCCTCCGGGTGAGGTGCTTAAGAATATTATGTCCGCCACACTGTCTGCAGTGCCCCCTGTGCGACGGTCCCGTCACGAGGATGTTCAGGTGAATATGCCGGGGATTGGGAGTTTGGAAGCACAGCAGCAGCCGGATTGGGGTCTTTAGGAGTAAATATAGACACCGACACGTCAACCCACGCCAACCCACGCGATCGACTAACCGTGTGTCAATTGTCCTTCCCATACAGCGCACCCCGCGCCAGGCCGAACGGTAGGGTGGAGAACCGCTGCTTTATGTTCTGCGCTTCGATTGGGCGGGAGGAGCAGAAGCTATCGCTGGACACGCTGAAGGGGCGGCGCAAGGTGTGCCAGAGGTGTGCCAGAATAGTTCATTTGGATGCCTGAACTTAGGTGGATTAATTTTTAGTGGACAGGGATTAGGGAGGCAATGGCAATAACGAGTAACCCTGTGATAGCGCATACAGCCCCAATGCTCTATGTGTGGCTTCCCTGCTGCAGGCCAGGGCCGAGTGCACTTTCCAGTGCACCGCCAACACCGTGGCGGACCGTGTTTTCGACATCTACTACAACGTGCTTGACGGCCCAAAACCCTCGCGTGCGCGGCGCCACTCCAACACCAGCGGCGGCAGCACCACCAGCAGTGGCGGCAGCCGCGGAAGCACGGGGAGCGGCAGCCGCAAGCGCGCGCCCGAGACGGAGGAGGAGGACACGGCGACAGGCACACAGCGCCGGCCGGTTTGGTCGGCGGCAGTGGGGCGGGCGGTGGGCCTGCCCCCGTTGCCGCCGCGTGCACGTACTCAGTCGGCGGTGGCGGGGATTGGCGCGGCGGCGTCGGGCATGGCAGCGGTGGGCCTGACCGACGCCGGGATGTTGCTGGATGATGATGATGATGATGATGATGATGATGGTGATGATGATTACTGTGTGATTGTGGAGTAGCGATGTGGATAGTTTGGAGCTGCGTTAGGACTTTAGCTCCGTTGCGCGCATGCAGGAACCCGTTAGGTCTGCCTTTGTTAGCCGACTGGACTTTGGTGATGGTTCCTCTGCGAGGTGCGGTTGACGACCTCGGGCCACTATAGGCTCGCGCAGCCCACCAGGGCGCGAGGTACTTTGGGTGATGCAAGTAGACTTAACTCAGTTCGAATGATGCGCCACGAGTTTCTTCATTTAAGTTAATGAACACATTCCATTTAAATCACTGAGTTCCTTGGCCATAAGATGAATGACTAGGGCTCCTTGGTAAAGGTCGTGTTTGCGTGGGGAAGGGCACACCTTGGTCTGTAGTAATCTGGTGGCCATTTCAGCATAAATTTTTCCTATACATATTAAAGGGTGTTACCTAGACTAATCGCAAGAATTACTGAGGCTTGGGCGGCCACCTCGGCAATTGCCACCAACTTCGGCCACGAGCAGAATCCAGGGCACCGGCGTGCTCAGCGAAATATTAGAATAATATGGCCATGTTTGCCTTGCCCAGCAGGCAAAGTTTCAGCGTTTGTGGATCTGGCCAACGGCTTCGTACGCTAACGGGCTTGCCTTCACCGACTTTCACGTACAATAAGCTGGCCCCACGTCGCTTGATGAGCTAAGTTCACCTCAAAATACACCGCAATATATTTTCTTCAGAGTCAAGTTTGCAGCATGGCTACTGTGTGGAGAGCGCACACTCCGTGTCATGAACGAAAGACCGCACCACATCCGGTCGCAGGAAAGCTTCATCGCCATGTCACTCTTCACTTGTATCAGGTGAAATCTTCGGAAACATGCTTCACAAGTCAAACGCTGCGGACTGTCCTTGCCCCAAGCACGGGTGCCACGGGTGTCGCGTCAGCAGCCGTGCCACAGCCGCTAACTCCCAGGCAGAAGAGGCTGGCGCAGCAGCACAGGTAAAGCAAGCACATCCACCCACGTTTCACCATCGGCAAGGAACGGGATTTGCAGTTCGGTTAGCACTTAACAGCCGGGAAGGAACGCCTCACATCGCACCGGCCGCCGCTGGCCCACGGCCCCTGGCCTTGCGCTTGCATCTTACTCCCTCCAGGAAATGGGAGGAAGCACAACGACAGCAGCAGCAGTCCAGGCCGCAACAGCAGCGGATACCTCACACGCCAGCCACCTTCCTGCCACCAAAGCACTCAGCCAATCCAAGCAAAGGATCCGGGGACCCCGCCGCCGCCAGAGGTCGAGCGGAGCAGCTCACACACACCCCGGCCTCACCCCCCTCCGCGTGGCCTTCCCAGGACCCCAGACGTACAGCCGACAGCGAACCCGACTCGATGTCCCAGGCGTCCCAGCCACGAGCAGCTCGAACCAGAAGTACTGCAGCTGGGGCAGGTGTCAGTGCCCCGAATGGCACAGGACGGCGGCGACAGCCGCAACCACGGGCGCCTTCACCTCTTCCGCCGCAACCGCCATTACCGCACCAGCAACGACAGCACAGGCAGAATCCCCCGCAAGGTCAGCAGCAAAACTACGGGCAGCAGCAGCAGCCGCAGCCGCAGCCGCAGCAGGAGCAGGAGCAGCATCAAGATCATGTATGCATGTGGGCCTCCGTCTTCGTAGGTGTCCATGGTGGTGGAAACGGCGGTGGTACTGGCCCGCAATCAGCCACCTCCCTGAGCTTAGACGACCTCCGCAAGCTGCACGGCGCGCAGCTGGCATCGCTGGCTCGTCAATGGGTGGAGGAGGTGGTGGCCTGGGAGCAGGGGGAGGGGCGGTGGGCTCCATCTCCTGATGCCACGACAGCCCCACCCTCCGCCGTATCACCATCGGTTCCTAACTGCGAAGGGACTGGAACGGCCCTCGTTGGATGTCAAATCTGGGGGTCGAGTCAGGCAGCAGCGCCAGTATCCGCTTCAGCAGAGCTGGCTGGGGGAGGCAGTGGCGCTGGCAGTCCAAGCGCCATCTGTCCCGGGCAGTCATCGTTGCTGACTGCACGTCTGCCGCCAGCGGTGGCGGCGCAGCTGGCAGTGTTGACGGCGGCTGTGGATGCCCACATGACCCGTGGGTCGCTGGGTCACCAGGAGCTTGCGGACTTGGCGTGGTGTGTCGCACATTACGACCGGTAATGTGCCGAGGAAACGTGCAACGTGCTTAGTTCCATGGGTTCTGGGTATGCTCCAATGCGCTGACTTGAGACGCGGGCATTTCACCGCGTCACCTTAGCACCAGGTGACCAGTGTGCGGGGCTGCTGCTGCTGCCGCTGCAGGCATTGCTGAAGGATTGATAGTGCTGCGGCAGCTTCCTTGGCTTCGAGGACTGCTATGTGCAGGACTGCTATGCAGATGGTTGACACGGGCCATGGTGCTAGATCGGCGTGTTGTGTGTGTTCTATCGTGTGCGATGCGATTCCATGGAGGATGCGTGTGAGTCCCGCCGGCGATCGAAAGGCCACACCACCCGACCTGGCCGGACTCCGGCCTTTCCACCCCGACCCAATCTGACTCCACTCAGCCTTGTTTGGTCCCTCCTGACGCCTGGGGCTCTCCCCGCCTTGACGCCTCCTTCTTGGATTGCTCCGGTCGCAGTGAGCACTCGCTGCGCGTGTTGGCGCCCGCCATGGGTGTGCCCTTCAGTGTGGTGCCTCGCTTCATGCCGGAGCTCAGGTTGAATGTGAGCAGCCGCGAGAGGAGTACGGGAACTAGAGTACGGAGGGCAGCAGGGGAAGTGGACGTGAAAGCGGGAGGAAGTGGAGGGCAGGCAGAGCGGGATGGGGTTAGGGGGACGAGGAGGGAGTGTACTTTAGCCAATTGTTGGCAGCGCCCACATTTTTACCAGCGGCCCCTTTCCTCAAACCCCCCCTTTCGCTTTGGGTGTCGTCGGCAGCTTAACCCCCCTTGTTTGTCGCATCGGTTTCCCCCCACCTCGCGTTGGCTTTTAGCCCCCTTTGGTGCTCCCTTACCTATCAGGATTTCATGTCCGAAGTGGAGTTGCGGAGGGACACCATTTACTTAGATGATGGAGGAAGGTGTGTGTCTCCATGTGCGTGTATGTGCGCGTGTTCAAGCCAGCCACACCGGATATTGCAGCTGAGGAGTGCAGTGCGGGGTGTGTGGGGTCGTTTGGTATTGTCACGACACGTGTTGTGTTGTGTTAGGTGTGCTGATGCTGTCCGCCGTCGGCCCCTGGAGAGCTCTAGACAGCAGCTCTATACTCGTGCAAAGGGGCTGCCAGTCGTTGCGTACCGTACTATGCCGTACTGAGCTGTACTGCACCGTACACGCAGAGCAGTGGAGGAGTCCAGACGGACGGGTTGGCAGTCCGAGATCGGAGCTACCTTCAGGTATGTATCTGTGTGTTCACTTCAGTGCCGTACACTGATACCTGCGTCCGTTGGCTCAGCACGATGCGTTTGTGCCTTCAGCCGCATTGCCGCCCACCAGGCGGCGATTTTGTACTTATTAGCGCGCGAGCGCGAGCATGCAGGGCCCAGCAGGCATAGGGCCCGCATGCAGGGCCCAGAAATGTATCCGTGTTACCGCTGCAACCGTATCATGTTTTGGGCTGCACTGGGGGCACAGAGCGCTGGTGGGAAAGGTTGTGAGGCAGGGATTGTGCCATTAATGACCTCCCTCTGACTTTCGTGTCCATGGCACCCGCGGGCGTGCATTGCGGTAGTAGCTACCGTGCAGTACGGCAAACACCGTCAAGACATATACGCGGTAAAAAGCGGAATTCTAGCAAATCTATAGAGGCCTTTTCGGCAGCCAGCTACCACAAGTCCAAATGCCTGCTCGGGAGATGGACATAGACTTTGGCGCATTTACGTGTGTGCGTGCTATATGCTTTTTGGGTTGCGTTACTCTCCGAAGGTGTAACCTAGAGCCCCATACGGGCCCTAAGGGGTACCAAAGGCCAGCAGCCTAGAGCTGTCCAAAATAGATAGATATACGTATTGGCGGTATGTATTGCCGATGCGTGCCGTACTGTACGACAGCTGCTACAATCTCCATTTCCACATTCATGGTACCATTCGGTAGTGGCAACCGCTACGCCTTTGGAAATGATATTGATAATGCCTTTACGTTCCATATTCCGTACGTCTCTTGTATTCATATTCAGCAATTTGTGATAATCATGTGTGTAAGCGCGGTGCTACAACTGTTGTTTGTAACACAATGCTCTCGCACGGCAGGTATAGCGGCAAGGAGATGCAGCCCCAGCCCGGCGGCTTGTCGACCCACATCCGCCAGGTGACCCTTTGGAGGGCGATATTGGATGAGTGTGAGGGCCAGCCTGGGGGATCAGTTTAGGTGGGGGTTGCACCGGGGAGAGGGAGGAATCTGCGTCACCTGCGGAGTAGGCGACCCGGGCTCCCCATGGCGCTTTGCGGCACTGGGCCCGGACTGGGGCATGCTAGGGCACTATTACTATATCGCAACAGATCTGCAGGCGTGCCGGCGTATGCCGAGCAGTCATTTCCACACACATACCTGCCCACCCAACAACAACCCTCCCTAGCACATCGAGGTCATCGAGATCTGCGCCATCAGTAAACAGGAGGGGAACTGTTCAGCACCAGCTGCCGTACCCTAGCCGCCTCATGGGCGGGAGCTAGCTGCGCAGCCCGCCGACGCTGCTGTCCCACTCTGCCCGTGCGCGTGTGGCTGCCTGCGTGCGGCAGTAGAAGGAAGTAGCGCCTACGTATGTATGTATGTATGTATGTCTTATGTCTATATGTGCGCCTGGATGAATGGGGCTCTGCGCAGGTCCGGGACAGGCTGTGGGAGCTTACTGGTGTAAAGTACGACAGCGTACTCATCAACTACTACGCCGACGGCAAGTGTGGGATGCGGTACCACGTGGACCCACTGTACGACAGGTGAGGGTGGGGCCGGTTTCATATTGTGTTGTTTTTGGTTGGTTTGGGGTTTAGTAGTGCACCTTTGCACCGGGGGGTGACAGCTGGGAAGGGCCCGCGGGACAGCTGGGCACAATCATGCAGCGCGTGCAACGGCTTTCAAAAGCAGTGCATTACGAGGGTGCAGGTTGTGCAGTTGTGTGAGGACTGTGCGGGTTACTTGGGGGATTCCATCTAAGCAAGCAGATGGGCCACCGGTGGGGTGGGGGGGGCAATATTGCACGTGCGGCTTTGTGTGTTCGTCGGGTAGTTGTACCTGGCGTGCTGTGCGGTTGTCTCATGTGGCGGGCCACACGTCGATTGGCAACCAGCGGTGTGCAGATTTGGGGGACATGCCGCCTTTGTTCGAACTCCGTGAACATGAAGAGCTACATGGCCACTGACCGTACCTATGTGTCGTACCCACCGTTCTGTCTCACTGGTCTTTATTCCACATTCCTGAACCCCTACATGACTGTACGGCTCGACAGGTGGACCCCCAACTCGGCAGTGGTGTCGCTGGGCGATACCCGCGCCTTCATTTTTCGAGCTATCAATGACCACAACACGAGGTATTCTGTGCAAACAATACTACGCATGCGTGTGTGTTGTTACAGAGAATGCTCCCTCCTAACCAATTCGTGAAAGAGTCAAAACCTTTTACTGGTTTTAACGACTTCATCACGCCTTATCTGTACGGAGCCATTTGTACGGACATCATCAAGGGGTATATACAAACAGAACACAGAGGCGGAGCGGTGTCGTGCGGCCCCCTTGCACCCATCTGTTGCGCCACCCATGCGTGCGCGTCGTCTCAAACAGTAAACCGCCCCATGCTCTCCACCATGCGCTACCCCAACGTCACCCCGCCACGGCCTACATACACCTCCTGCCTAACAAGAATAAATGCCGGAAAGCCCACATACAACATGAGCACACCTTCCCACTCCACCATCCACCGCCGCCGCATGCATGTGTTGTGTTCCTCCTGCGTTGGCGGCCCCCCCAGTAGCCCCGATAGCCCCTGCCCACAATCTCAAACCCCTTTCCCGAGAGCTGCCCACAACTGCCGCCAACCCTGTTTTGAACAGCTGCCGCCCTCTGGGCCCCCCTGCCCTCCGCAGATGGCACTACCGGGTGCGCAACGGGGACGTGGTGCTCATGTTTGACGACTGCCAGGACCGGCTGCAGCACTGCGTGCGGGTGGAGAAGCGTGCTGCTGATGCGGGGCCGCGCATGTCGCTGGTGTTCAAGGAGAGACTGCGAGGACCCACGGGTCACTACCTGCTGCCGTGATGTGTCGGACTGCTGTCTGGCTGCCTCTGAACGCTCTGACAGGCTGGTGGCACGCCCATTCATTCTATGTATGTGGGTTGGGGTCCGTCCACTGGCGCATTCATCTTAGCTATGCTGCTGGCGGTGGTTGTGACCGCAATGCCGTCTTGGCAGTTGCGGTCGCTGGCAGCGGTGGCGTGAGTTGCGTAGCAATAGCGGCAGGGTACGTAAGGTGTAAATGATACACACATTCGTAGTTTCTGCTTCTTGCCCGGCCTTCGCCAACTGCAACCACGGAATTTGAATTCCACGTGCAGCTATAAATAAATAAAGAATAAAGAATTTTTGGGGGAAAATGCTTGCCTCTCCTTGCAGCATGAAGCATCCGAAGGTAAAAGTTAATGGACATCGTGGCCTCCTGGAGGCGGAGGCCAAAAGTGTGGGCATATGGCGAGCAGGTGGATTTAAGGGCTCAAATTTGTTTTTCAGATAAACCTGCCCAGTCGGCCCATGAAAGATGCTGGGCATTAACTAAATTTATATTTTACACCAGGGGAACATGGTACGTTACAAACGGTATATCTGCAAGCAACGAAATAAGTCTTCCTTCGGTAGGCAGGCCTGTAACGCCTGGCCCCCTCCTACCTCCCGACCAAGAATGATTATCAGTGTATCGGTAGCCAGGCTCAGTGAATCGATGCGAATTGTAGCAAATTGTAGTATTAGCTTTTAAATGCAATTCTCGGTTCAGCGTGGCATGCGAGTACATTATGAGACACGACGCTGACTGACTGACTGACAGCACTCCCACTGACAGCACGTCCCAGCCACGGTTGTGCTCAATGACCAACTCCTTCGCCTGATTTCCAAATGCTTTTTGCAGCGCGTCTAGAGACGTCTCGATTGCCATCAGGCTTCCTCCTTCGAGGATGGGTGGCCGTCGACTAGGCCACACCAAGCGGCTTCAACTTCAGCGGCCGCTTCATGCAGGCGAACCAACCGTTGTCTCTGACCATTTAATGACCTGTTGCCCTTGCCCCATCGGAAGCTATAGTCGCAGTTGAAGTCCGGCCATGGCCGCCGTGTCTTCTTTGCCGGAAGCTCAATTGCGTCGCGTTGCTCTTCCTGCTGCTCCTGCTGCACTAGGAGGGAATACAGCCGCACGGCTGCACTCCTAGCCTCCTAGTACTGCATGTACGCCCCCTTCAGCTGTCCGGTCAAAATGGCACCAGGGTCCGCCTGTAGCTTCGCCAGTGAAAAAGGGGACATGTCGCCCTTTGTTCGAACTCCGTGAATATGAAGGGCTACATGGCCACTGACCATGAGTGTAGTACCGTTCTGTCGCGATTGGCTTTGTTTAACCCTTACATGGCTGTACGGCTCGACAGGTGGACCCCAGCTCGGCAGTGGTGTCGCTGGGCGATACCCGCGCCTTCATTTTTCGAGCTATCAATGACCACAGCACGAGGTATTCTGTGTAAACAATACTACGCATGCGTGTGTGTTGTTACAGCGAATGCTCCCTCCTAACCAATACACACATTCGTAGTTGCGCCGTACTGTCCGCCGTGTCGCCTCGGCAGCCATGCGGAGCTGTGCCAAGTGTGTGAGTTACCGTACATGACCGATATGCTATTACGTAAGGAGGTACAAGTGCTGCGGTGTAGCTACCAGTCTAAGAGGATGCTGACAAGATCAAGGGGACCGGCGGCCAAATTGTTTGGTGAATGCGAGCCCACATTTATGCAATACTTCTCAAAGCTTGGGGTGTACGCGGGCTTGGGCGGCGCGCATCCGGATGCAGCATCTTTGCTTTCACGCTTCGGAAGCTGCTGGTAGGGGGATCGAGTTAGGGAGTACAGGATGATAATGTGGCGTATCGAGCTGGCCTCGGGGCCCCGTGCTGAGCCCGGGGTCACTCGTGCCGATGTGTCGAGATCATTGGGGATGGACGGGAGGTGTGAGCATGCTGCAACTTAGGATTCTGCCCACAGCATACATCCTTGCATTCAGCGTCCTGCTGCCTGCAGTCGACAAAAACAAAAACAACTTCAGCGACCGAGGTTGCTATCTTTTTCCGTCGGGCTTGTTAACTGTATCCCAGGGCTGGCTACACAGGCTCGAAGAATTGAGTGCGGAATTGTAAGTGCGGAAGCAAAAGGCACGTAGGGGATGTAATAACGTCAGTGTTGTCACGTCCAGGACCCTCCGTCGTGCGTAACTCGTTTGGCTCCGTCGTGATTGCAACACGGAAACATAATGAGCGTCTGCTGGTTATTGCAACTATGAGTTTCTGCTCCTTGTCTGGCCTTCACCAACTGCAACCACGGAAGTTTAATTGCACGTGCGGCTATAATCAAATAATAGAATATAGGACGTTTTGAGGGAAAATGCTTGCTTCTCCTTGCAGCATGAAGCATCCGAAGATAGAAGTTACAGGACACCATCAGGATTCGATCATGGGTTATGGCCTCCTGGATTCGGTGGCCAAAAAGTATGGGCATATGGCGAGCAGGTCATGTGATACAATAACCGATATTGATAAACCTACTCAGGCGGCCCATGCCTGCCAGGCCGAGGCTTTTATATATATTCCCCTTTATATGGGACTCTACGAAAAGCGAGGCACGTCATCAATCCTCAGTCCTCAAAGCGAGCCACAACCGCCTCGCTTACCATGCAAACAAACCCCGCCCTCAAAAGTCTCCAAATATCCAAACTTCAATCGAGCCTTTACGTGTCGCCGCCACCAGCCAAGATTTAATCATGGGCTATGGCTGCTGCTGGCGGCTGGGGAGCCTAAACGGATTAATAAGTGTCACATGGCCGGTGTGAGTTTTGTTCCATGAGCAGAAGGATCAGCGGAGGGGCACTTCACATGCCCGGCCCGCCGTGCCTACATGGTACTTTATAGAGGTAATCGTATAAATCGCGTCGTGACGGGGACACATTATACTGCAATATTTCTGAGTGCGTCAGACCTCTTCTGCTTTAAGACACGAGGGTTCTCCTCAACCTTCTGCCTGTCTGTCGGTGCATTCCTGCGCCCGGGTGAAGCTGGTGGTGGCTGCACCGAGACATTAAAAGAGGAGGATCCCACTGCACGATGCACAAGCAAGCTGTCAATTGGTTTCGAGGGCCTCGGTGTTCTTCGGGATCGGAGTTTGGTTTCGGTGGAGGGTGTTACATCACGACTTCAGACAAGGCTGTGTCGGCTTCCTCGAAGCCAGGAAAAGGGCGGGGCCTCTTTTATCCGTACAGGCCCATCATGCGCAAACTGCTGGGCTGTTTCGCTCTCTGCACAGTGAACGAGACAGCGGTCGGGGAAGCCAACGCACTTTGCAAGAACAGTCAGGGAAGCCGGCACATTTTGCAAGACCGGTCAGGAAAGGCGGTCGGCCCCTCGAGGGTCCGGCTGATTCGGGCTCCAGCTGACCGCCTTGACCGTAGGATCACAGAACAACACGCACGGAACTCTCATTGCAAGCAATCCCAGGAAGTCTCTCATCAGGGGAAACACCGTGCACTCTCGTTCTCAGTCCTAGCCCAGGCATGATTGATGAAATGAACGGCTCACAGGTAATTATGCTCTTAGTGACGATGATATACCAGGACCGGCCGTGTACATGCAGGAGTGACATGCAAGAACGACCGGCCGTGGGTGCCAGTCCCACATCAGGGCTGCTTCTTCTTCTCCCCCCAGCCTCTGTAACAGAAAGCGTAATTCTTGTCGTTGCAGTCGCCCTCGTACGCCTCGCCGTCACCCTTGGGATCCACGTATGGGCAGGAACCCTCCTCAGAGTCCCAAAGCCAACAACCTTTGCCGCTCATGTAGCATGCCGAGTAGGCTGCGTCTTGGTGGTCTGGTTTACGGAAGTACGATGGTACAGAAGTGACCAAGCGGGGTACACGGAGTGGCTGGTCAAGTCTGCAACGTGTGGCACAGCTTGTGTAGCAGGACAGCTGCAGGACACGCGCTTGATGATGCAGCAGGCAGGAACACTGGCAAGGAAGTTGGGGAGCAGCAGTGGTTGCTGAGGAGCGACGCTTGTCATCAGGATTGGGGCCTTATTAACGCTAGGTCACCGATTGCATGTGTGCACGACATAGGCCTTCTGTCAGGTTTCAGGTGGATCAGACTTTGAAGGATGTGAGTATAGCGGATGGCCAGCTGAAGCCATGCATTGCCGCAGAGTCCTGTGCAGCCGTAGCACCCCAAGCTACTACTGTCGTGCATGGTATAAACCAAGCCAGCGTGGTGTTGCACGCCAGTGCCATGACTGCCTTCCGCGCACCTTTTTTGTATTTGCCATAGTACGGCACCAAGATGTAGCCCTTGGACTGGCAGAAGTAGTCGGCGCCCTCGTACGAGTACTTGGAGTTGGAAATGATGTACATCCACTTCTTTTTCTTGAATTGCTCATACTCCTTGCCTGCTCAAAATGATATCATAAAAGACACCACCACACACACATCAAGACTAGCGCAGCACCATGCCGTGGAGTCGAGGATTCAGCCAACAGGCCAGCAGCTTCCGACACCCGTGTTGTGGTGTCGTGGATGTTTGCACATGCGATGTATGGTGAGAGAAAATATGGCCCTTCACCGTGCGCGCTGGCATTCCCTAAATTTTAGGGGATAGAAATCTTGCTTGACTATCCACCGTTGCAGCGGGCAGCTAGTTGAAAGCTGTCAAGCGGCGAAAGTTCCGCTCACAGCCCCGTGTTTTGGCACGGAATTAGCAAGACTGTCATCCGATCCGCTGGCAAAACCCCTCAGCTCAAGCCCCAAGGGCCAAGTATGCTATCCCATCCCGCCGTATGCAGCCATGCGAACGTTTCCTTGGAGCCGCTCTCCTTGAGTTGGCAGGTCGTGGTCGAGAAATCGTTCCTGGGAGTGGTTCCTTACCGGGTGCGTTGGGAGCGAACGGAGACTTAGGGGCCTTGGGTGGCGATGGAGGCGACGGAGGATTTGGCGGGCTGGGCGGCGACGGAGGATTTGGCGGGCTGGGCGGCGACGGAGGATTTGGCGGCGATGGAGGGTTAGGTTGCGGCGGAGAATTTGGTGGGCTGGGCGGCGACGGAGAAGTTGGCGGCGATGGAGGGCTAGGCTGTGGCGGAGGATTTGGTGGGGTGGGCGGCGACGGGGAAGTTGGCGGCGACGGAGAACTCGGTGAAGATGGTGGATATGGCGGTGACGGAGGATTCGGTGGCGATGGAGGATTCGGCGGCGACGGCTTCTTCTGTGTTGGGGTGTCGGGATATCGGATATCATATGTGTGGCACAGCACACAGCACAGCGACCGGCAACAACAAGTAGTTAAGCAAGTTGAGAGCATTCGGACCGCCGTGGACGTCCGCACGTTCACCTTCAGCCACACGGTCGGCTTTCCAGATGCGAATTTCATTGCATTCTGCACTCGACTATACGCTGCACAGCTCCCCTCTTAGGGCTCACTTAAATGCTGCAACTCAATGCTGCACATCCACGCACATCCATTCCTGCAGCCACCCTATCACAGACGTAGAAGCACCGCCGAGCCGTACTAAGGAAGTCCTGCAGCACCGTTGGCGATTCGCACAATACACCGAGGCGCAGTAAGCACATTGCAGGGTGGCTCTGCGGCTGCCCCCTCATTGGCAGATGCTGCTCCTTACCCTACCTACTCTAACCTACCCTATCCAACCTACCTCTTTACCGTCATCGCTGTTCCTGATGGTGATGGTGGCTGCGTGTGATGCTGGCGACAGCTTCGCCTCGAGTTCAATATCGTTTTCTTGAGCCTTCAAATCAGTACCTGGCACAGAATCCCTACTTAGCAGCGACTGGTGCAATGGGTCCTGTTGCGAGGATGTGGCCGAGGATTTCCATTTGTTTGGTTTGGAAATGAGTCTCGAAGATTTCGGCGGCGAGGGCGGTGGCGGCGAGGGTGGCAACGGCGAGGGCGGTGGCGGCGAGGGTGGGAACGGGGAGGGAGGCGGCGGGGAGGGTGGGAGCGGGGAGGGAGGCGGCGGGGAGGGAGGCGGCGGCGAGGGTGACGGCGGCGGTGGTGCGGGCAGCGATGGCGGCGGTGGTGATGGCGGCGGGCGTGGAGACGGCGGCGGCCGTGAAGGCCGTGGTGGTCGGGGTGATGGCGGCTGTGGCGAGGGCGGTGGACTCTTCTTTTTAAGAATCGATGCCAACGCCTTATCCCAGGAATCCCAGGTCGCGTTCCAAGTGAACCTTTCTTCGATTCCTGTTGTCTGCCCCGCAGCGGTCGCTCCTGCATGCATGCATGGTCACCCATGGGGATGAGCGGCGGCGATGCGGCATATGGGGCGCTTGGGAGGTTAGAAAGGCAGGAAGAAAGGCAAACACCCAGTTTTGGGGATGGGACATGCTGTTAGACGGGACCCCAGGAAGGGCCCTGGAGCATCCGAAGGCAACCGTGCCCACTAAAGTCGCCAATCGCGAATTACAGCGCTCAGCTGCAAGAAGGTCGGCACCGGAGCGTTGGGGTTGTGACTTGCCTCTCCGCATGTACGGCACGTGAGCTGACTTGTCAAGGACAACTCCTTCTCTGAACACTGTTCTTCGCTCCATGCAGGACCATCCGCCTCCCCAAAAGTGATTTTCACTTCATTTCCAAATTCCCTGGCCTGCTGGAAAGCCCATCATAACCAGAAGCTTCCATGGCAGCGAGGCGAACAAGAGAAACAAGAGGCAACAGAGACACCTGCTAACTCAACTCCACGGGGACAGACAGACTCCGGACGACGAGAACCTAGCACCCAGAGGAACCCGTACACCACTTTACGGCAGTATTATGCCCACCGCTGAAAGGCCTCGTCTGCCAAAAATATTATATTTAAGAGCTGGAGCGCATGTCATTCATGGATCGTGAACTTTCTGCAGCTACATCCCGGACTGTGTGTGCTGTCCAATTGCAGCTGAGCGGGGAGCCGAGAGCCGAGTCATCAGATTGATTAAAGCCAAGTATATGTGCCGCGGCCTGGGTGTGTCGCATCCTGACGGTAGCGACTGTTCAAGGTCTCATTTTCATTCTCCATTTTTCGCCCTCCTGCCACGTCCCCCATGTCCTCCGCCACTCACCCTGCGGTGCCATCAGGCACAGTACGGCCACCACCGCCAGCAGCACCAGGCGGCTGGTCATGGCTCGGTGGGGGCTGCTGGACGCTGCAAGTCGGGTCATGTGGGACCACGTGAGGCGGGGCTGACTGTTAGGGACCTGACCCGTTATTCTCCGTTATTGTGACCCGCACGTCCGGAATAGACCCGTCAGTAGCAGCAGCAGTAGCAGTAGCAGTAGCAGCAGTAGCAGTAGCAACAAAGAGATTACAAAGTGCTGTATGAAAGAAAACAGTGTTGACGACTATCCAGATGCGAATTGCTCACCGGCTCAATTGGCGAAGACTGTCCTAGATTGCTGCTGGGCGCCGATTGAGGAAGAACCTATCATAGCTATAAAACATGCCACATCAATCCTGCTTTGTCATGGGCCTCGTAGTGGCACACTGGGAAATGGTACCGGCGGCATACCGCACCGTGGGAGCCATCGGGGCATCGGAAAAGCCAAACGGTACATGTGTACGGATGGTGCTTTTTTTTGACAGGGTGACCCGTCCCACGGGCCGTTTGGATCTTGCGTCCGCGGGCGGTAGTGGGCGGCATAGGACGGACCGAAGAGCCACGGTGGGGCCCAAGTCGCCAATGCCACTACACAAAAAGCTTGCATCGCCGCAAGATGGATATGTCGTGAGGGCGTGCATATGACTGCTTTTATGTGGTTTGTGGGAAAGGAAACGAAGGAGGTGTAGGAACGTATGTTCCATGCCCTGTCGGATCATTCCGACGGGCCGAGGCGGCGATAGGCGCTATAACCCAAGTAAGCGAACGAATCCGTTTCGGGGGAGATGAATACTGACACATACTGTACCGCTGCTTCCTTTGTGTCCTTGTTTTGGCAGTTCGTCAGCCTTCGGTATACTTTTCGCGCCCGATCGTTTGCTTAGCTGTTCCTTGCTACCTGCTGCACTCGATGCTCGGCCCTGAAGAAGGATGAAGAAGTTTGGGACCATCTGGATTTTGTCATTTTGGTGGACAGGAAAAGTTGTCATTCCTGCCCTGCAATCGTTAGCGATTATGGGCCGTAAATGTTGTTGTCCAGCAAGCTTAGGGTTTCGGCAGCGTGCTATGGAGGGTTGCGGGCCTGTGTGGAAGTCCCAGGGCCCCCCCCAGCCAAAGCAGGTAAACCTGCGAGTATCTGCAGCTGATGCTAATGGTAGGCAGCGCCAACGACGGCCGGTCAGTCCGGCAAATTGCCATCTGCTATTCAGGACATCCAGTGACGTATATATAACTACCAGTTAGTTAACGGCCGCTAGAAAGGATTTGGCTTTACAGTTGTCTCAATATTAACATTTATCTTTATAGATACCCATACTCAAGGGGTTTGACATAAGTTTGCCTAGAGCGCCGCTCCAGCAAATCCATTACAGCAAGGCTTACGTTGGGTAAGCATAGTATGATTTAGGCACATGTAAGCTAGGTTAGGAAGAAGAAGTTTTGCCATGCAGCTATTCTGCTTTCGGAACCGTCGGAGAGGACCGTTATGACTGTACGGCGTCCGTCTTTTTCTATCGCTTGGTTTGTAACCGGCAGGCTCAAACCCTTAGGGTTTGCTATTGGTCTCTTCTGCACAGGCAGGTTAGTGAGTTATGCCGAAAAGAAACGCCTGCTTCTGCTCCCCCAATGGAAGCACGTTTGGCTAAATGGGTATCCAGTAAGGTAGCAAAAACAATTTGGACATAGCCCTTCTTTTTCCTTGTAAAGGTTAACGTAAACATTTTAGACTTCTATTCGTTGCGCCTGGACAAGACAAGACGACTGTAGGACAGCTTCCAGGGGAAAGCTGCCGTCAAGGCAGCTAACCAGAAATGTCCGAACTGAGAACATCGGCGGCAAGGAAGCCGTCTGGCATGAACTCGGCTCTAACGGCGGCCAAGTCCAATGTGGTCCAGCAAGCCAAGCTTATGGACTCAGCCGGTACAGCCTGGCACGCCGTCAAGTATGGAAACCTTGAGGTATGTAGTCTGAAGTCATCATGGCACCTTGCGTCAATTTCCATTATGGCGAGTCTGTTATGTTATTTTTCCCACGGCACCCAGTAGTCCTATGAGGCATTTGAGCAGGAATTTCATCCATAAACACGTATACTGACGCATACCCGTTAGGCGAAAGTACACTTTTCTAGAGGTGTGCAAGTGCAATGTCGCATTTGATTTGCATGTTGTCTGCACCTGTTTGCAGATGATAACGAGGCTGTTTCCAAGCCAGTGCAATGTGTACAGCAAGGGCCCTGTCGGCGAGAATGTGTTTCATATCGCCATGCTGCTGAACACACCTTCGACTCTGGCTATTGCCAAATATTTAGTAAAACTGTACGGAAAGACTCTGGTCAATACGCCGTACCAGGAGCGTAAGACGGAGACAGACCCGCCGGGTCAGTACGAAGGCGAGACAGCGCTGCATATTGCCATCGTCAACCATGATTTTGACATGGTAGGTGCCAGGCTCGATGCCATCTCCAGTCAAGCTTTGTCAGGGATATATGCGGCCAGGCTTACCCTCCACTACACTTTCATTTCCGCAAGACGACGTTTGCACGCATAGCCGTCCCACGAGATACTTGAAATGAACCTCTCGTGATATTCTCGCCGCCCAGCATATCGAGACAACCAGGGTTAAGCCCGTCATTGGCGGCCGCGCAAATCGAATTCCTACAGCCAGTTTCCTCCACACTCGGGTCAAGCAACCCTTTGGCTGGCTTCATCCAGATCCCGTCCCTCCATCTGTATCTCCAGCTTGCCAGCATACATCTTGGACCCGCAAGGACTGGCTGGGCCATCTTCTCTTCCATGCCACTGCCGCCTTAACATACATCTCGTGTTCTGGCGCATTTTGCGCGCAGGTCAAATTCTTAGTGCAAAACGGCGCGGACGTGCGCGCCCGCGCGTACGGCTCCTTTTTCCAGCCCGGCAGCGCTGTATACTACGGCGAGTACCCGCTTAGCTTTGCAGCTTGCACCGGTCAGAAAGACATAGTGTCGTACCTGAAGCGCCACGGTGCACGGGTCAACCATGACCGGGACCAATGGTGAGTAAACGTGCTAAGCGCGTGATGGCGGCGCACGGCTGTGAGCACGACAGCTCCGAGCGGCTTTTGTCGGCACTGCCGCTGGGCACTGTTTGATGTAACTTGTCTTCGGGCGTGTGCCGACGGCGGGGGACTATTGGTGTATGGCATCGTTAGAAAGGCCGACCGACGCTCCACTGGCCAGCTAGCAGGAAACCGGTTGCCTCGTGGGTTGAAGACAAAGACTCTGGAGGAAGGGAAGTGGCAGGCAGGCACCGGACCCACGAGTTCAGCTGTCTTCCGTTACGACCTATGTCCCAACGGACAGTCTCGTTAAGCATATCCCCCACCGTTTCGGCCCGCCGCTACTGCTCTTTCCGTTGATGACAGGGGCAACACTGCCCTGCATATGTGCGTCTACCACGACCAGCCTGACATGTACGATCACTTGGTGGAGTACTGTGGGGCCTCGGAGCACGTGCAGAACAACCGCTCGCAGGTGCGGAACAACAGAGATGTGGCCACAGTCCCCGGTCCCTGTCCATCGGGTCTGTGTCTTCACCGGTTTCCGGCTCCTTCGTTAATGCATTCAACGAATAACGTTACCAGTTAATCCGAACGGTTTGCCAGTGCTGGTCCTTATCATCAGCACCGTAGGCCCCCGAGGGGGTAGCAAGGCAAGCTCCATACCACGTCCCGGACAGCCCCAAGCAACCAGAGTTGCTCCTCTGATCAGCAGCACTGCTTAAGGAGGGACGCTAGGCACGGCCTGCGCTGGAGGCCCAGGGTTAAGGTTACAGCAGGATAGTTAGCCAAACGCGGGCAACCCTAGCAGCCACTTCCCGGCATGTGGCCCAGGGACCCCAAAAGACTTGGCGGGGCATCATTAACCGCGTCGAACAGGACAGCCGATACTCACGAATCCGCCAACACCCAACACCAGACCTTTGATAAAGGCTGCGGGTGGTGGCCCCTCCGTGCTGAAGTTGGACAAGGCCGTATGTAAAGGGACCCCAGCATACATAAGCCGGCCGCGCAAAACCGGTGGCAAGACCCGACAGAGCCCCATCCCCGTCGGGGCAGCCCCAGTACGAAGGCACGAAGCATCCCTCAGAAATCAAGAACTGCCCACTCATATCGCTCGGGTGTGGAGGAAAGGGGCTTAGCCGCCCGCTGTGTTGTCGTGCGCCTTCTCTTCCTGTGCCATCAAAAGCTACCACCTTTATAGCAAAGCTTCTTCCGCTCCAGACCCTAACGCGTTTTGAGTCCGTCCCCTCTCCGGAATCATCAATGTTTTGCATTTTCGCTCCCCTTTCTGCCCACAGACCCCCCTGCTGCTGGCGGCCTCGTTGGGCAAGGTGGAGATGCTGCAACACATATACAACAAGCGCCGCCGCGTGGCGTGGGCGTACGGCCCTGTGACGTCGTACAGCTTGAGCCTGCGCGAGATCGACACGGTCCAGAACGCCGGCGAGTACGTGCCGTCCGCGATTGAGACCTCGGTGCGCAAGGGACACCTGGAGCTGCTGGTTGACCCGCTGGTGCAGACACTGCTGCAGACCAAGTGGCAGCGATTTGGCAAGACGTGGTTTCTCATGCAGGTGAGCCCGGCTGGACTACGCTTTTGTGCATAGGATTGTATGGAGCTACAGCCTGGGAAACGAGTAGCATAGTCGGGGATAAGGACGGGCAGTTATTTGGCGGAGTGGTGGCCTCGGTGGAAAGGCGGCGGCAGCAGCAGCAGCAGGTGGGGAACGAACGTTTGGTAGACGTTGCAACCCGAAACCAGGTCAGAACTCAAAAACCCGAAATGAATCGGCGTCACATGTACATCTTGAAGGCGGAACAGAGGCTGTGGCCCGGGTAGGGCTTGAGGAAGGATGGGCGAGTGGATTAGGTTGGGAGATGCCGAGTCTGTATCGGTGCGGTTAACAAGAAATAGGATAGCGGACCCGAAGGTGGGATGTTGCATGGTGCCGGAACGAGGATGGCTGTATGGGGAGGAGTTTACTGGCTCAT